GAGGCTGTAAATCTTTACCAGAGCAGAAAGCCTCATCTTTCTCCCGCGGAGCAGCTGGTAGTTTCGAACTGCTGACCTTGGGGTTCGCAGCCTGATTCATAGCCACATGTATATAATTCTGTGAAATCAATGAGAATCTTCATGTTGTATAACCCTTGTTACTATTCTTTTCAGAATTATTCTATCATCATTAACATAAACTCATTGCCATGAAAAGCAACTCTCCTTTTCCCCTTCCTTTTTAACCCTGATAAACACAAATAAATTTTTGTTTCTATACATTTGTCTATGGCATATGTGGATAAGTCAAAAGTTTTGCTACAGAATCATAGAAACCTTTATTAAAGAAAAATATCAAAAAATGTGAAGCTATTCAACATATCCTTCAGCTTGGTCTATACATTCTGAAGGTGATATTTCTAAATCTCTAGACCTTCTCTGAGAATTCTGTGCTGTTTGATTTACATCAAGTCAAAATGGCAATTTAGGCATCCTTGAAGAACTGAAATGTGTTCGTTTTCAATGTCCTTTGAGTTCTGAGGACAAACAGATGTCTGAAGGGGCAAGAAGAGAGCTGTACGGTGGATGGGGTAAGGCTCCCCAGTGAAATTCTCCTAGTACAGACAGACCTTGGTACCCTTGAAAAAATGAGTGTATGCATTATCATGATAGAACAAATCCCTCTGCCTTTTTCAGGCCTTTTTCTTAGCAATTATGTTTTCAATTTTCTTAAATCTTCTACATAATAAGCCCCTATGCTCTCCCTTTGAGAAATTCTATCAAGATCATTAATTTGAAATCCCCCAAACAGTTGTCATAATCTTCTAAGCTGACCATCTGCTTTGAATTTATCTTTATGGTTTTCCCAACATGCCCTAACACATTTGATATATTTAAAAACTGTTGTTTTATGTGGCGCAGCAGTCCCTTAAACTTGTTGCAGAGTCAATGATTTAGGTAAACGTTCATTTGAGGTGTGTTAAAAAATTGATATCAGTGTTGACCTCAAAATAGTTCTTTTCCATGGCACAAAAAATATCCTTTCTTTTGAAAGCACTTTAACTACACTAAGACAAGTGCATTACTGACAGAACTTGTCTGCAGCCATTCACTGATGGCAGAGAGATGTTAAAACACATTTATGGGGGTGGGGGCTGGGCATAAACCTACCCATTGATGAGTGGGAACCCTAATAGTAATACTTTTTATCTTACCCTTGCATAACTGAGATCATACATTATTAATCCATTTGTATCTGATTTATTTTAGTTAGCAAATATTCTCACGGTTCATCTCTAATTTGGTATGTATCACAATTCTATTTTTCTTTATGGCTGAGCAGTATTTCATTGAATATCTCTAGCACATTCTGCTTATCCATTCATCTGTTGATGGACATTTAGGTTGTTTCTACCTTTTGATTGTTGTTGTGGTGGTAGTTAAGTGGCTAGGAGTTGGCTCCGACTCACAGTGGTCCTGTATAGAGTTTCCAGAGTCCTGGTATGACACTGTAGGATAAGCACAGGACTATAAGGTCAGTTTGAATCACAAGGTTAGTGGTTCAAACTCACCAGCTGCTCTTCGGAAACCCTATATAGGGTTGCTATGAGTCAGAACTAACTTGATGGCACTTAACAGCAACCACAACGTATACAGGTTTCTGTTAGTGCTCCTGCCTTCACATATTTTGGGCATGTGCTTTGGATTAAGATTGCTGGGACATATGTTTGATTGATAGCTCTATGTTTAACTTTTGGAGAAACCACTAAACTGTTTTCCACAGTGACTGTAGCATTTTGGATTTCCACAGCCGCACATGAGGGTTCCATCTTTTCCACGTCTTCACCAATACCTGTTCTTTGTTGTGGTTGTTTTTCTTTTTAAATTTTTTTTGCTGATCACAGTCATTCTGGTGGGGTGAGATGGTATCTTATTGTGGTTTTGATTTGCATTTCCAAAGTCCTTTGGTGAGGCTATAGGACAAGCACTGGTCTGCTAACCATGAGATCAGTGGTTCAAACCCACCAGCTACTCCTCGGAAACCTTATATAGGGTCGCTGTAAGTTGGAACCAACTTGACCACACTTAATGACACAGTAATTAATGGCTTTGAGCATCTTTTCATGTGCTGTTGGCCATTTGTATATCCTGTTATTGAAATGTTTAATTTATGCCTTTGCCTATTTTCTGATTGGGTTGTTTGTCTTTTGTTGTTAAGATGACTTAGCTATTTTATTTGGTGCAACTAGGGGAATGCTGATGCCATTAACTGAAAGAAGGGATCTAAGAGGAGAAGGAAGTCTATGAATTTTAAAGGAGTAATATGGGGGACAATGGAGGCATGAACATAGTGAGTTGAGATGCATGTGAATTTACCAAGTAGAGATGTTCAGCAACTAATTGGATTCATGAGTTTGGCACTCAGGAATGAAATAATTACATGCTGACCTGTAGTCCTATGAGTCAATAGCACATAGGTTAATACTTAAAACTTCTGAGTAGATGGGATCATTTGCAGAGATTATTTATGAAAAGAATAATGATCTAGCTCATAGTGGCCCTGTATAGGGTTCTGAAAGCGGCTGGTGGGTTTGAACCACTGACCTTGCAGTTAGCAGTGCTAATGATGAAACCCTGGGAAACATCAATTTTTAATGATATTTATGAAGTAGAAGGAGCTCTGGTAGCGTAGTGGTTACGAATCGGGCTGTGAACCTTAAGGTCAGCGGTTCGAAACTACCAGCCGCTCCGCGGGAGAAAGATGAGGCTTTCTACTCCCGTAAAGATTTACACCCTCGGAAACCCTGTACAGGGTCGCTATGGGTCGGACCTGACTCGATGGCACTTAACAACAACAACAAAACAATTAAAAGCAAAATGTATAGATGGTGAATGAAGGAAAGAACAGATCCATACCCATTGTGAGCAGTATTGTCTTATTTAAAAAAAGAACAAAAAAAGTTATATATCTAGATTAACTTACAAGGGGATGCCATGCAAGATAGTTAAGTTGGTAAGTGTTCTTTTGTTTGTTTGTTTAATTTTATTTTAACAATTATCCAGGTTAAAGTTAAAAAACTAGAAACTAAAAAAAAAAGGTAAACAAGCAATAGGAAGAAAAAGATCTGAAGAAACCCAGTCATAATATATTATTTTCTGCCCTAGTATTTTAAATATTGTTTGTGTGTGTGTTGTAGCTCATCTATTCAACCAAACGTATTCAGGCTTTGCTTCAGAACTCAGTTGGCACTGGGAAGGCCAGGATGAATCAGGGTATCAGAAAGTCTATTGCCTAGTGGTGAAAATAGGACACAGATGATCACAAGGCACTGGGGTGCATAATTATTTCTCATTTGTTGTTTTTAAGAAGAGTAATGTTTTCTGAATGAATGCCAACCTCTAAAACCAAAATTCTATGTGAGTTGCTCTCAAAAGTCCTAGGATCAGAGGCATTTTAAGGATCAGATATTTAGAATAGCGAATGCAACTACCATGAAAATCATCTAGAGTTTAACACTGATGAATTTAGATTGAGCTGAATTAGTCCATAGATTTAAAACTAGATTATCTGACATATTACACATTGTACCCTCTGTCTGAAATGGTTTTTGTTTCTCTTTCCTTTGCAAACTCAGTCTCAAGTCTTCTCTTCTCATGCTCTCATGTTTATAACTTTGTGTATTTCTTTATATTTTAATAATTTTTTTTAGCCTCTCTCATTAAACCATGAACTGCTTTAGGATAAAAATATTGTCTTTATTTACATATCTTTAGTTCACTGGTAGGAAAATAGGCATCTAGTATGTACTTAATAGGGCTCCTGGTATGGAACTCTAGGATCAGAGCTGGACTGCAAACCACAAGGTCAGCAGTTCAAAACCACCAGTAGCTGCTTGGTTGCTGAGTTGTAACCTACTCGACAACAATTAACAACAAAAACAACATGTTCTTAGTAAATATTAAGATGAGTTGGAAGGGAGGATGTGAGAAATACTTGGTTTTCTACTGTAAAATTAGAAATGTCTATGAAATACTGTTTGGATAACACGATGCAATATTTATTTACATCTTTTGTAACAAAATCAAAATAAAACAAAGGAGCCAAATCTTGTCCTGTGCCAAAATTAGTTGAAAACTTTTAGTTGGAGGTTTTTGGTTTAGACAGAGGAAATGTACTCTGGACCAACTTTCACCCAATACTGTGCTACCTTTTTTGGTAGTGGATATATCATAATAGATTTTAATCTCTTCTTAACTAATCAATCCTCCTTGCCCTCTTCAAGCGACACACTTAGCTGGGCTCTGCTGAGGAACGACTGAGACTAGCTTAAAATGAACTGAGAGATTCTGACCTAGTTCGGATTGAGGTTTTTGTATAGGCAGCTCTCCCCTTGAGCTCTAAATATTTTCACGAGTAGCCCAGGCATTGGTCAGAACCTTATTCCTGAGGAAATTATTTGTCATATAAACAGGACCAGCTAAATAAAAAATACTTGAAGATGTGACTCTATCCATCCCTGCGGTGTTCTTTTTTAGTTTATTTTTGAGGGGTGCTTGTCTGATGACATTGTGATACATGTACCTGTAAGGTCATCAGTAGGCCAGGACCCCAGCTGGCATGCCTTGCAGGTGTACTCATCAAAGACATACTCGTTCTCTTTACAAGGTGTACAGGTCCAGCAACAGCTGACTTCTCCCTTCCGGATCACCTGAGACAAATGTTAAAAATTTTATTTACTTTGTGTGCATAAGAAAAAAAATACACATATCTCTTGTACAAATTTATTGCCTCACCATGCAGAAAATACATTATTTCAAATGTTATGTTAGGTAGTAACAGTATTAATATTTTTATTTTATAATTTGAGAAAAAACAACTAAGACTGAGTTTAATCAATCAGTCCACTATCATAAAATTAGTTGTTAAGAGGACAAAGACTCACTTCCAGGGCAAGATGGCTGAGTAAGCAGATACACCGAGCTGACCCTCTGCAACAAAGACATGGGAGACAGTACAAAACAGATACAGACAGTGATCTTGGAACTCTGAGCTTCAGAGGATAGAACAGAGATGTTGACTGAGTGCCAACTAGAAGAAAAAGTGGAACAGGAGCAGTGAGAAAGAAGACAGGCAGATAGAAGGTTGGCCTGGAGTGGCCTGGCCATCTTGAGATATTGTGAGAGACTATTGATACAGAAACCTAAAGGCCCAGGATGGGACTGGAGGTTGGTGGTAAAGGATTGTAATTCTCCCTTATTCGCACAATCTCTTGGTAGCTGGGGCCTGGCCAGTCCCTGTCCTCACCAACCCAGTGATTGGCCCTTCTACCACACAGTCTTTACTCTGGTGGGGTTGTGTGCCAGGCTAGCACCCCATATTCTGGAAGAATGTGAACCCACCCTAAGCTACACTACACAAAAAGTGAACAGAAAAACCCCTTCACAATTCTAGTCTCTACTATATCCACCAGGAAACAGGATGTGAGTAACTGAGAACACACCTAAATACAATCACCAATTATCTATAAATACAACATCACAATGTCTTGAAGAAAACAAAAAATGTCAGTTACACAAAGAAACAAGACAGCATGCTTTAAACAAGTGACCAAAATATACAGTCAGAAAATATGATACCAGAAATTGTATCAGAATTGCTTGATAAGGAATTTAGAAGAATGTTAACTGGGCAACACACATTATAAAAAACAGATTGAGAGAATGACTGAGAAAACCAGATGGAATCAAGAAAAACAAAGACAAAACTATAGAATAATTTAAGAAACATACTGACAAAATAATTGAAAAAATGAGAACCATACAAAGACAGTAATTAGAAAGCCAGAAGATTAACACGAAGACTTCAGAAATAGATAGCATACTGAAAGGGCAAAGAAGTAGAAGTGAATTACTGGAAGGTTGAATTACTGAACTTGAACAAAAATCTCTCAATATTCATCTACCAGAGGTTTTACATGGTACAAAGAACTTAAAAAATCCGAAGAAAGCCTAAGATTTAAGAGGGGCATCATCAAGAAGAATAACTTAAAATTTCCATGCGATTGGAAGTCCAGAACAGGAGAAGAGCACTCAAAAAACCCAAAAAAAAACAAAACAAAAAACCCGACAACAGCCTTGAGGCTATTATTGTCCAAGAGTTGTTGGAAGATAACTTCCCTAGCATTATGAACAATGAGAAGATAGCCATTCAAGAAGCTGAACAAAGTCCATACAGGATAGACCTCAAAGGAAAAACACCAAGACACATTATAACCAAGTTTTTAAAACCAAGGACCAGGAAAGAATCCTTAGAGAAGCTTAGAAAAAAATGAAAAATTACCTACAAAGGAGAATTAATAAGATTAAGCTCTGATTTCTCAACAGAAATCAGGCAAGAAAACAATGGGATAACATATATAAAACTGTGAAAGAAAAAATATGCCAACCAAGAATCGTATACCAGCAAAATTGTCCATCAGATATTATGGTGAAATTAAGTCATTTCAGATAAACAGAAATTAAAAGAATCTGTTAAAACCAGACTAATCTAACAAAAAATAGTAAAAGGAGTTCTTTGAACAGAGAACCAACAACAGCAGACAACAATCAGAGACTGACAAACACAACAATATCACCTAGAACTCAACCCAGATATAGAGGTATTCAAAGTAAAACAGACTTACAAGACTGAAAACACAGAACCAGAAATACAGTTACAACAGCAATAAAAACATAAAGTAAGAAGAGGGAAATAGTATAGCTATTGAACTTCAAATAAAGAAAAAACCAAGTAGATTTCAAGAAAAATATTAAATAAAAATAAACCCAACTGTAACCCTAAGAGCTAGACGAAGACTTATGGCTAGACCTGACCCAACCTCTACCCCTAATACTAAATCTAGTCCTAACTATATAAAAACAACACCAACCACAAAAACAGGACCCAAACTTAAATACAGAGGATCTTTGGACCATTAGCTTGGGATGTTGTTTTTGTGTGCCATCGAATATATTCTGACTAATAGAGATTCCATAAGACAGAAAACAACTACCCCATAGAGTTTCCGAGATTGTCATTGTCACGGGCAGGTCGCCAGGTCTTTTTTCTTGTGGAGCTGCAGGGTGGGTTCAAACCTTCCACCTCTGGATGGGCAGTTAAGCACTTAACTATTATGCAACCAGGGCTTCTTAGCTCAGGATGTCTGTTTTTAACTAACTGCCTTTGTTTGTGCTCATTTAAATCTAAACATGTATTTGCATTTATGTGCATATTATTGAATTTTCCCTAGGGCATATGCATCTGTACAGAGACCAAGAGGCAGTTGTTTGAACAGAACAAGGGAACACCAAATGGTTTAAAATTAGGAAATGTGTATGTCCAGGTTGTATTCTTTCACCATACTTATTCACCCTGTATGTTAAGCAAATAATCTGAGAAGCTGGACTACATGGAGAAAAACTTGGCATCAGGATCGGAGGAAGACTCATTAACAACCTGTGATATGTAGATGGTACAACCTTGCTTGCTGAAAGTGAAGAGGACTTAGAATACTTACTAATGAATATCAAAGACCACAGCCTTCTGTATGGATTACATTTCAATGTAGAGAAAATAAAAATCCTTACCACTGGACCAATAAAGAACATACTTATCAATGGAGAAAAGATTAAAGTTGTCAAAGACTTCATTTTGCTCGGCTCAACCATCAACACTGATGGAAGCAGCAGTCAAGAAATCAAATGACATATTGCATTAGGCAATTCTGCTGCACAAGACCTTTTTAAAGTGTTAAAGAGCAAAAATGTCACCTTGAGGACCAAACTGGTGTGCCTGCCCCAAGTCATGGTATTTTCAATCATCTCATATGCATTGAAAAGTTGGATAGTGTTTAAGGAAGACCACAGAAGAACTGATGCTTTTGAGTTATGGTTTTGGAGGAGAATGTTGAAAGTACCATGGGCTGTCAAAAAAACAAACAGATCTGTGTTGGAAGAAGTACAGTGTGTGCTCCTTGGAGGCCAGGGTAGCCAGACTTCGTCTCTCATACTTTGGACATATTGTCAGGAGGGACTAGTCACTGGAGATGGATATCATGCTTGGTAAGGTGGAGGGTCAGAGAAAAAGAGGAAGACCTCCAGTGAGATGGATTCACAAAGTGGCAGCATCAATGGACTCAAGCGTAGCAATGATTGTGAGGTTGGCCCAGGACCAGGCAGTGTTTCGTTCTGCTGGGCATAGTTGTTATGAGTTGGTATTGACTCAATGGCACCTAACAACAACAACAATTTGCAGCTTTCCATTAAGAACTTTTGACCAATAGTTAACTTGTCTTCCCTCTACTAGTTGAATTATTGTGAACAAAAAGTTTGGTGTATCTTTTAATGTTCAAAAATCTGTCCATACTGAAAAAATCTGTCCATACTGAAAAAATAATTAGGAATTTGAATTGGGTCGAAAGGTATACACATTTGAACTCAGTTGCAGAAGATGAAAATTTCATCTTGGTCATTGCTTCTATTAAGTCTCCTTCAGCAATTCATCTCAAACCTTCCTATTCTAGTAACTTTGTTTATACTGGGATGAAGCTGAATAAGGTCATTGAGACTATTATACATCTTTTCATCTGTTTGATTTTTTAAGGCAATGGGAAATAATTGCAATGCTTTAACACTTGAAAGAGTTCCAGATGTTATTCTTTAGAAATGAATGTACCTTTTTTTTTCTCACTACTGGAGCATGAATACCTTCTGTGGTGTAGAGACAGCATTCATTAAACACTGTTATAAATAATTAAAACTATGATTAATAACCAATAATTAGCATAAACATAAATGTGTACACTTTATATTCTTTGTCTTATACTCAACTCTATTAATGGCATGTAGATAAATAGAGCCAAATTAATTGTAAGAAGGCACATCTTTCTTACATTTGCACTACATCTTGTGCTGGCTCCTGATTCTGCAAAGTACGGGTATGAAATAAAGAAAAATACCCTAAAATATTCCTTCTCTAAAGTAAACAGAAAGTTACATAGAAGTGCTCATGGTTGCTAAGTGCCATTGAGGTAGCTCCGACTTATAGTGACTCGATGCATAAACAAACAAAACTGCCAGGTCCGGTGCCATCTTCACAATTGTGTTATGCTTGAGCCCACTGTTGCTGCCACTGTGTCAATTCATACCATTATGGAGTGGGGGGCAGGGGGGCTTCCTTTTTTTTTCACTGACTCTCCACTTTACCAAGCATGATGTTCTTTTCCAGGGACTTGTCACTCCTATAAAATGTCTAAAGTATGTGAGATAAAGTTCTGTAGTTCTTGATTCTAAGGGACATTCTGGCTGAACATCTTCCAAGACTGATTTGTTTATTCTTTTGGCAGTTCATGGAACATAAAACGTTCTTTGTCAAAACCATAATTCAAATGCATTAATTCTTCTTCTGTCTTCCTTATTCATTGTACAAGTTTGACATGTATATAATATGTTGCTATTGTTAGGTGCTGTTTTGTAAGTTCAGATTCATAGTGACTCTATGAACAACAGAAAAGAACACTGTCCAGTCTTGCACCATCCTTACAATGGTTGTTATATTTGAACCCATTGTTACTGCCACTGTATCACTCCATCTCCTTGGGGGTCTTCCTCTTTTTTGTTGACCCTTTACTGTACCAAGCCTGATGTCCTTCTCTAGGGACTGAGCCCTTCT